GTATATTTTTATAGTTTTAAAAATTGCTATTGCTGGGTTCAGTGATTCAAGCCTGTAATCCAAGCACTTTGGGAGGCTGAGGCGAGAGGTTCGCCTGAGTCCAGGGGTTCAAGACCAACCCGGGGAACTTGGTGAGATCTTGTCTCTACAATAAATCAAAAAATTAGCCTTGTGTGGTGGCATGCAGATCAAGGCTATGGTGTCCATGAGTGTGTCACTGCACTCCAGCCTGGGCGACAGAGTAAGACTCCAACTAAAAAAAAAAAAAGTTGCTATTGTTATTGATTTCTTGTTTTAGTTCATTGTGGTCAGAAAAAATACTTGCAATAATTTCATTTCTTTTAAATTTGTTGAAACTTGTTTTGTATTCTAATGTGCTGACAAAATGAATGTGTATTATGAAGCAGTTAAATACAATGTTCAGTAAATGTCTGTTGTGTTCATTTGGTCTTAAGTGCTGTTTAAATCCAGTTTCTTTGTTGATTTTTTGTCTAGTTGATCTGTCCAATGCAAAGTCAGATGTTAGAGTCCCCAACTATTATTGTATTGGAGTTTCTCTCTTTTAGTATTTGCTTTATATTGCAGGGTACTTTGGTGTTGGGTGCATATACATTTATTTTTTTTTTTCAGTCAAGGACTCACTGTCACTTAGGCCCAAACGAGTACAATGACCCAATCACTACTGACAGCAGCCTCAACCCCTTGGGCTCAGGTGATCCTTCCACCTCAGCCTCCTGAGTAGCTAGGGAGTATAGGCATGAGCCACCACATCCAGCTATTTTTTTTATTTTTATTTTTAGAGATGAGGTCTTGCTATGTTGCCCAGGCTGGTCTCAAACTCTTGGGCTCAAGCAATCTTCTTGCTTTGGCCTCCCAAAGTGCTTGGATTACAGGTGTGAACTACTGCACCCAGCCTATATCTATGTAATAACAATTATATCTTCTTGATGAATTGATGCATTTTTACTATGTAATGATCTTCTTTGTCTCTTTTTTATAGGTTTTAACTTTGTAAAGTCTGTTTTGTCTGATATAAATATAGCTACTCTTGCTCACTTTTGGTTTCTGTTTGTGTAGAATATCTCGCTTTCTCTCTTTATGTTCTTTTTTTTAGAAGTGAGTTTCTTGTAGGCAGCATATAGTTGGGTCTTTATATATATATAGGTCTTTATATATATATATATATAGTTGGATCTTTATATATATATATATATAGGTGAGGACTTACTTCTGACATTTTGACAATTGCTTTTTGGTTGTTTTGTATATCTTTTGTTCCTTTCTTTTTCTCTTGTGTATCATTGGCAGTTTGGTGATTTTCGGTAGTGATAAGGTTTGCTTCTGTTTTCTTTTACCTTTATGAATTGGCTCTGTCAGTAAGTTATACTTTTGTGTGTTTTCATGATGGTAATTATTGTCTTTTCACTACCATGTGCAGTTTTTGTAAAGCTAGTCTATTGTTGATGAATACCTGTTTTTGCTTGTCTGGGAAAGACCGTTTCCTTTTTTTTTGGACTGCAGCTTGTTTTGTTGCACTGGTTGGGGTGCAATGACATCATAGCTCACTGTAGTCTCAAACTTCTGGGCTCAAGCAATCCTCCCAGGTCAGCTCCTCTATTTCTTCCTCATTTCTTTTTTATTTTAAAGTTGTAGGATAAAAGTCAGGATTGTATACATAGGTCATTTAGGTACAGGTGAAGTTTTGGGCCTCGCATTGGACCTCACTTCATTTGGATTAGAATCAGGCACACTTATTGATGTTATGTGTCCTCCCCACCCCATCAGTAACCCGCTACTGCCAATCCCTTTTTTCAGTATTATGATAGGTGTTCAGGGTCCACTTATGAGTGAAAACATGTGATACTCAGTTCTTTGTTTCTGTGATAGATCACTAAGTATGATAAACTCCAAATTCATCCAAGTTGCTGCGAAGTCCATAATTTTGTCCTTCTTTATGACTGCATAATATTCCATCATGTATATGTACCACATTTTTTAAAATCCAGTTCAGTTTTGATGGGCAGCATGGTTGGTTCTATGTTTTTGACATTGTGAATAGTGCTACAGTAAACATGCATGCACAGGCATCTATTTTGTAGAATGATTTGCGTTCCTCTAGGTTCTTCCTCATTTCTAAAGGATACCTTTGCTGGGTATAGTATTTTTGTCTGACAATTTTTTCTCTCAGTACATTGGATATGTCATTTCCTTTTATCCTGACCTGTAATGGGGATTCTTTAATATGTGACTTGACACTTTCCTTTTGCTGTTTTTAGAATTCTCTCTTTGTCTTTAACTTTTGACACTTTAATTGTAATGTGCTTTGGGAAGGCTCTTTTTGTGTGTAATCTATTTGAGGACTTGTGAACTTCCTGGGTTTGAATGTTCATATTTCTCCCCAGACTGGGAAACTCTCAACTATTGTTAAATAGGTTTCCTATGCCTTTTCCATCTCTTCTCTTTTTGGAACTTCCATAATACAAATAGTTGTTCACTTAATGATATCCTGTAAGTCTTGTAGGTGTTCTTTACTCTTTTTTTCAGTCTCCTTCCTTCCTTCCTTCCTTCCTTCCTTCCTTCCTTCCTTCCTTCCTTCCTTTCTCTCTCTCTCTCTCTTTTGTCTTTAACTGAGTAATTTCAAACAACTTCAAGTTCAGAGATTTTTTTCCTTCTGCTTGATCAAGTCTACTTGATCCCTATTGTTTATTTTATTTTATTCATTGAACTCTTCAGCTGTAGAATTTTTAAGTTCTTTTTTTGTAACATCTATCTTTGTTGAATTTCTTGTTCATATCATGAATGGTTTCCCTAATTTTATTTGTCTGTATGTATTTTTGTGTATCTCTTTGCGTTTCCTTAAGATCATTTTAAAAATTTCTTTTCTGGCAGTTCATTGATTTCTTTTTCATTAGGGCCTGTAATTAGAGAGTTAATATGTTTACTGCTTTTTTGTTTCTTATGTCCCTGTAGTGATGTCTGATGGAACAGTGGGCTCTCCTAAACTTTCTAGATTTGCTGTCATAGAGAAAGACTTTCACCTATGGTTGGGTCTTAATGTACCAATTGGGAAGTGTGTGGTGATCATTTCCAGGTAGGTGCAGTAAGTAGTATAGTCTTCATGCAGCTTCTTCGGCTGTATTCAACATCAGCAATAACTATAGGAAACTTAGTGGCCTAGGCTGTAGAAGGTTTTGGTAGCTGCGGAGCAGGTTGTTAATATCCTTGGTGGCAAGGGTTTTTGGAGTCTCCTATTGTCATTTTTCTCACAATTGTGAGATTTAGCTGAGGTTATTTTTATTGGTGTAAGGTCTGGCATGGTCTACAAGTAGCTGCCTTGGTACTCCAGCCCAGGTGCATGTACTCTAGTGGCTATGGGAGTGGGATCCTAGGCTTAGGGTCTTGCAAACCTATTGTGACACTTGGGTCTTGGAGTACAGGTTCACTCTGTATGGCAGGGTTGGTGTAGATTGCCCACAGTGCCAGAATCTGTGACTTGGAGGCATCCCCTGGCTGCTCAAGTATAGAGGGTCAAGCGATAGCCATGATTCTACCCCTAGGATAACCCTGGCCTAACTCTGGGGAAGAAGGGGTATTCTGCACGTTTGTCTCTGGGACGGGGGATATGACTGTAATTCAGGAGCCTGAGCCAAGAGGGCTCACTGGCAACTCAGGACCCTGGGGATAAAGCACAGTGTAGTGGTCACTCTAAAACCTGGGTTGGTGGAACTCAGTCATATCCCAGACTCCAGAATGGCTGATCACACCTGTCATTTGGGCCCTGTGGGGCAGGCAGCAACATAGCAATGACTTCACTCCCCAGAGAGAGGAGTATCTCAGCAGTACAGACACTAGGGGTTAGTCCACCTCCAGGAAAGGGGGGTGGGTACTAGAGTTGTCTGGCCTGTAGGGCATATGTCTCAGCTCAACCATTTCTCTGTTTCCCTGAGAGGCATAGTTGCTCAGCTTGGCCAAGGCACTCATTCTCCAGGATGATGTACTGCTTCAACTCAGGTCTGGGTACTATTTTTCTGGGATGCAGGGCTCCACCAAGGCACTGTTTCCTTGGGAAAGACTGCTCAACTTTAGCTTCTGCCCAAGGGGATAGGGAGAGGGGTAGATGGAGCCATTTTACCTTTGCTTGGTCACACAGGAAAGGGTATAACAGCAGCTGGCAGCTTCATTGGGAATGTCAGGCCACCAGGTGGGGGTGGTTCAGCAGCGCCATAGCCTCAGGGATGAAGGGGTGCTACTTGACCCAAGAGCAAGTCACATTCCAGCAGTAGTTTCACTATGATATTCTCCTTCTGTTTTGTTGGCAGCACTCTTAGTTATATTCTCTTTTCATTTTGTCAGCATTTTATTATGTTGTGATGGAGGAAAGTAGCATTAAAGTCATTTTACAAATTATAAGAAACTGAGATTATATCCATAGTTTACTTACATAGTAACTAAGAGAGCTGGAACTTGAATTCAGACCAAATATTTATCTTACTTTTGCTACTTCACATGGAACATCATCCCAACCTACTGAAGCTAGGGCCTGTTAATTATTCAGTAGGAATAATTCAACTGATATTAACGTATTCCCTTTTTACCTTAGCAGGGAAAAAATAATGTAAGAAAAAATATTAAAGTAGATTGGGAGATTGCCTGCATTTGGGGCTTTGGAAAACATTTTTTGATTTAAATTCCAAAGGAGTGTATAGTGAAAATAAATAATAGAAATCTCAAATTTCTAATTTAAATTATATATTGTGGAAAAACTTGTCCCCCCAAACATGCTAAAGAAAAATATATTAACTGGGTTTCTAAAATAGCACATAGTATAGGTATCCTTAGTTTTTCATCTCTGTTTTCTCGCTAATTCACCTTGATTTTAAATACTTTGTTTTTCATTTCCCTAGAAACTATGATATATAAGAGGCCAAAATGGGACTCAAAAATTTTTTGGGTACTAAACATCATAGTTCTTTCATTAATGCCTTGTTTATTATCTTCAGGTAGCAAATTATGGAGTTGGAGGACAGTATGAACCTCATTTTGACTTTGCACGGGTAAGTAAAAGAAATGAGGAATATAAGAAATCCACTGAAGCTTATGCATTACATTGTTAAAAAAAATTTTCATGATACTTGTTAACGATGGTAAGGCATACTTTATTCAAGAGGGGATCATTGCAATAGGTATAGGGGCCATCACACTTGTAATGGGATTTTGTAGTGAAGGAGAGAGATTAAGCTCAACTCCAAATACAACAAGGAAAAGTGAGAATTTATAGCCAATGAGTAGGGTAGGGGGTCAATAGGTGGAAAATTGCTAAGGGAAGGGAGGACTCTGGCTAAACCAACCTAACAGGATTATTGCTGAAGTCAGGGCTGGATGTTCAGACATCACCCTGGGGATTAGTGGAAGATGAAGAATCTGATTAAATATTGAGTGTGATCAGATATCAAAGGTTTGGGAATTCTGACTAAATTGACTTGGCAGGATTCTTACTAAAACTGTACAATCCACAGACAATTACAGAAGCCCAAAAGTGGGGACTTAGTTGAGAAGAGAGTTCAGAGGAGCCTGAGTAGAGTTTGGTTAAGGAGAGAATTTTTCTCAGTGTGTTAGTTCTGTTCTTTCAGCATTAATTCATAACCTATTTGGAATTTGTGGTAACAGTGTAATAGGTATCCTGTGAATCCTTTTTAGCAGGGGGGGAAAAAACCCTAGACACCCAATAAAAGTATTTAAGATACTTTTTTTTTTCTTCAGAGTTGGAATCTCACTCTATCGCCCAGATTGGAGTGCAGTGGCCGCTCCCGGCCACCGCAGCCTCAACCTGCTGGGTTCCAGCGATCCTTCCACCTCAGCCTTCCAAGTAGCTGGAACTACAGGCATGTGCTACCCTGCCCGGCTAATTTTTTGATTTATTGTAGAGATGAGGTCTCACCAAGTTGCCCAGGCAGGTCTTGAACCTGCGGACTCAGGCAATTCACTCACCTCAGCCTCCCAAGGCACGGGATTACAGGCTGAGTCACCAAGCCCAGCTTTAAGATACGTTTAAATGCGTTCGTAAACCTGGAAGAAGATAAAGCATATTCCCAAAGATAAACTGAACAAAGATGGAAAACCTAGGGACTAAACCTGCAGAGTTAAAGTGCGGAGAAAAAAGCTGAGGTTGGAGGCACATACCTTTAGGACCCCAGAGTTTTGGAGATTAACAACTCTGTGAGAGAACCTACCATAGTGTAGGCTGCTGTACTTGGGGCATAAAACCCAAGTCTCTGAAGTTTCACCTTCAGTGAAAGAAAGAATGGGTTTGAAATAATCCTGACTGGCTGGAGTGTATGGGTAGCATAGGCCTGTCCTCACATTAATTTAGGAGAGGAGAAGTTAATCTAAAGTTGTTCAGTTTGGTAGTGTTCCTCGATACCTGGCAGAAACAGAAATAAATTCATATTCTCCCTGAAGAGAAGCATCCTCATTCTGACACCTCAGCTAAATATGAACTCATTTTTTAAAAAATATTACCAACTGGTTCAAGATGCCTTTGGTGAGACTGAAGCAACCCAACAGATTTAGACATCCCTAGGATTTTAGGTGCTGGAATTATCAGATACAGAATATAAGATAACCTATGGTACTTAAAAAATAAAAGATGGGACAAAAATAAAAAACTCAAAATGATTTGGCATATTTGAAAAATAAGTAGGCCGGGCTCGGTGACTCAGCCTGTAATCCTAACACTTTGGGAGGCCAAGATGAGTGGATTGACTGTGCCTGCGGGTTTGAGACCAGCCCGGGCAACTTGGCGAGACCTTATCTCTACAATAAATGAAAAATTAGCCAGGCATGGTAGCACATGCCGATAGTTCCGGCTACTTGGAAGGCTGAGACAGAAGGATCATTAGAGCCCAGAAGGTTGATGCTGGGGTGGCCATGAGAATGCCACTGCACTCCAGCCTGGGTGACGGAGTTAGACTCCAACTCAAAAAAAAAAAAAAAAAAGACGCAAATGGAAGTTCTAGATAGAAAAAAAATTGTTGAAATTTTAAATTTAATGAATAACTTAAAAACAGATTAGTTACACATGAGGCAAATTAGTGAACTGAGCGTTGTTATAATTTCTGAAGAAATTATAATAATGCATTTTGAGAGACAGAAAGATAAAAAACATGAAAGAGGCCAGGTGGAGTGACTCATGCCTATAATCCCAGCACTTTGGAAGGCCAAGGTGGGGAGGATTGCTTGAACCCAGGAGTTTGAGTCCAGCTTAGGCAACATAGCAAGACCTCAACTCTACAAAAAATTTTAAAAATTTAGCCAGGCATGGTGGTGCCTGCCTGTCGTCCCACCTGCTTAGGAGGCTGAGGTGGAAGGATTGCCTGAGCCCAGGAAATCAAGGCTGCAGTGAGCCGTGAGCCATGATTGTGCCATTGCACTCCATCCTGGGAGACAAAGTGAGATTCCAACTCAAAAAAAATAAAGAAAGAAATAATAAAAGAGGTGTAAAGAGACTGGAGAATAGGAAGCATAAAGGATAGGTGAAATTAAGGCAGTTTGTAAAAATTTTATGTTTGCTAAGTGTTCTTAGCATAAGACTAAAAAATATTGGTCTCTTTTTTACTTCCTTAATGTATTCAGCCATGAATTATAGCATTACCAAGTCTTAATTAACTTAAACTGTATAATAGTTACATAGAATTCTGAGAAATGTTCCACATAGTTTCACAGTTCTTTTTCTATTATCATTATTAAATAAGAGTAGTTTTCTTTTTTTTTTTAGAGAAAACACCGACTATAGTGTGTTATAGTTCTTTACTGACTTAATTCCAGAATTCTAGACTCTTTTTCTGTATAGACCTACAAAGAATATATTGTCTCTTTTTCTTCTACTTTAAGTTATTGAAAAAAATGTGTAAGTGACATTGATGATGTGAAAGACTACAGGTAAAGCCCTGACATTATAAAACTAAATTGTACTTTTTTTTGCTTTTGATTTTGAAACACTTTTCAATTCATAATAAGTAGCAAACAAATGGACTGGAAGATCTGATGTACCCTTTGCCCAGCCTCTCCAATGTTAATATTTTGAATAACTATAGTACACTATCAAAATTTGGCATTGGTGTAGTCCTCAGAGTTTATGCATTTTTCATCAGTTATACTTGTATTCCTTATCACATATACGTCACTCTACCCTCGCCCCAAAGTTCCTTTGCAGTACTGCTCTGTAGCTGCATACACCCTCCTACTCCCATTCCTAACTGCTGTTCTTCCCTACAGTTATGTTATTTCACAAACACTATATAAAGGGAATTACACAATATGCATCCTTTTGAGACTGAATTCTTTCACTCAGCATAAATCTCTTAAGTAAGGCTCATCTAAGTTTTTGCATATATCCATAGTGTACTATTATTGCTGAGAAGTATAGCTGCAAATCACTTACCCAAAATGCTTGGGATGAAAAGTATTTCAGATTTTGATATCTCTACATGTACATAATGAGATATCCTGGGAATGGAACTCAAGTCTAAACATGAAATTCATTTATGTTTCATATATACTTTATGCACATAGCCTGGAGGTAATTTTATATAATATTTTAAATAATTTTGTGCATGAAACAAAGTTTGTGTTATGTACTTACGTGGAGTCATGTCAGCACTCAAGAAGTTTTGGATTTTGGGGCATTTTGTATTTTGGAATTTGGATTTTCCTGATTGTGTTCAACCTGTAGTCCATGGTATGGGTGTTCCCCAGTTTAGCCATTCACCCATTGAAGGACATTTGGATCGTTTTTAGGTTTTGGCTATTACAAATAAAGATGTGCATACATTTCTGTGTGAAAAATACACTTTCATATTTCTGGGATAAATGCCAAGAGATTGTGTTGTATGTTAATTTAGATTTAAATTATGAAATCTCCAGCTTGATTAAGGTACTAACTGTCCAAAAGAAAGACCCTCATAAGAGCAGTAAATATTTCAGTGGGTCATTAATTCAAAGTAAATCTCAAGGTGAATTTTTTTTTCAACAGAGAGTAATCTTTAGGAATGTAGCTAACAGGTGGCTCTCATGTTTTTTGAAAGCTAAAATTATTGGTGATTTTTAAAATAATTTGCAGTTAGGAGATATTGGCTCTCATTGTTTAAAAAATCTGGTTTTTTTTCCTCCCAATGATCTTGTCCAAAGTATCTAGTATACAAGTTCCGTGAACAAGCATTTGAATTCCTTGTATATAGATAGAGTGCACTGGATGTTATAAGGGAATTTTGGGAGGTTGTTTTTGGCATCTTCAGCATATTACTACTGATGTTTAGGTGTTACTGTAGTATTTGCATTATTATATTTTAACTCAGTTGAATTCACTGTGTTTTTATTTACAGAAAGATGAGCCAGATGCTTTCAAAGAGCTGGGGACAGGAAATAGAATTGCTACATGGCTATTTTATGTAAGTTGTGGCTAAAATTTTTTATGTTAAGTTGGGATTTGATCACATGGCTCATTTTCATGTGTTCAGGTGTTTGTTCTGTCTACCTTTTATTTAGTAGCCTAGCTTAAAATTTTTACAACTGAGTAAAGGTAGTGGAATTTTTTTGCATTTGCAACTTGTTTTAGATTTTAATATAGATGTTTAATTGCTGGTAGGTGATTTGTGAGATGTCTGTGAGTGCACAGGGTTAGTGATCAGCAAAATAACAAAATAGACGAAAATTCTTGCCTCTATAGAAATTATATTCTAGTATGATAAAATACATGTTTATACCTCTTGGTTTTAAGTCATTTTCCTCCTCTGGCTGTAAATAAGTACCTATCCCAAATTATATCCCCATTTCTCTTTCTATTTTTGTTAATCATTCCTTTGCTTTTTATTGTTGCTGTACTAGAAACCTAAACGACATTTTGTTTTATTTTTTTTAAACTGAGTAGTATCTACAAACCCTGGTGTGTAAAAACAAATCCATATGTTCCCCATTTTCTAGTATTCAATATCAAATCCTCCTTACAATGGCATATTTTACTTTATTCTACCAGCACTTTTGATAATACCTTCTTGTCTCTTATAGATGAGTGATGTGTCTGCAGGAGGAGCCACTGTTTTTCCTGAAGTAGGAGCTAGTGTTTGGCCCAAAAAAGTAAGCTTGGCTTGCAGGTTTTTTTGTTTCATATTTTTTTTTTCCTCTCAGTAAGAGATGCACCTGTATTTCATGGTCTAATTAATGAATCATACTTTTAAAGGTAATAGACTTAATACATGATCTCTAGGTAAAGTTTTGGGTATTTTTATAGCACAATTTACCATGAGTACCTAGAGGTAATAAACAACCAGGAATTAGTATTGTAAGTGTTCAGTTCTAAAATGGGTTCTGTATGATGCTTGCCTCCCCTCCATCTCCAGCTAACAAATACTCTTGCCAAGCAGTTTTGTGGTATTAGCTTTTTCACATGACCAAGAAAAGTTTTTAAAGTGATATAATCACATTTTCAGAATTATATTAGAGGAAGATATACTGCTGCCATAGAAGAGTCCTTCAGCAGGAACAGAGGAAAGCTTAAGTATCATAGGAAGTGATAACTTGACATTTTATTCTAGCATAATTTTGAATTGTTTTCCATAGGGAACTGCTGTGTTCTGGTATAATCTGTTTGCCAGTGGAGAAGGAGATTATAGTACACGGCATGCAGCCTGTCCGGTGCTAGTTGGAAACAAATGGGGTAAATATTTCCTTTATTCTGTGAAGAGAATTTGTGATTTTGTCTCATATTTTAAAATTATTGTAATCTACATGTTAAAACCCCTGTAGGTTTGCCTAATATGACTTTTTAACATTGCATAGGATTCAACCAATCAAGTTCCTGATCTTAATATAAATTTGCATTTAACAGATCAGAATTTTGATGACAGATTTTATTTTTAATAACTCTATTTCCATTTTTTATTCCTAGAAACATTAACTGACTCAAAATTGAATAAGACAGTACCTTCTTCTCAAAGAGTTAAAAATCTGAGATATACTAAAGGATAAATTACAGTATAGTACATATTCATACAAAAATGTAAGCAGAAGATGGTGACTCCCTAAGTTTGAAAACCTTCTTCAAAGCTTAATTTTTAAATTTGGCCCTGAAGATAGAACAGTAGTTTTCCAGGCACGTTAGGGAACAGGATGCAAAATGTAAAGAGGTGTTCATTCTCAGGACCATGCAAGTGCAGGATTGACCACATTAAAAAGTAAAAAGAAACAGTGAGATTAGTTTGAGTATATATTAATTAACCTTATATATCCATTTCAATATGTGTTACTAGCTACATTTCAAGTGCTCAGTAGCCACATGTGTCAGGTGGTTACTATACAGGACATAGCAAGGTTAAGGAGTGAGGCCTGATCAGGATTTAAAAATCTGCCCTGGTGATTATAGTATTTAAGAGTCACTGGCCTAGAATGAGGGATGGGCTAACTGGGGAGAGTTTAGAAGGCTGTTCTTTTTTTATTTTAATTATAATTATTATTTTTGAGTTAGAGTCTCACCTTGTTGCCCAGACTGGAGTGCAGTAGCATGCTCATGGCCATGACAGCCTCGACCTGCTGGGCTCAGGTGATCCTTCTGCCTCAGCCTTCCAAGTAGCTGGAATTACAGGCACGAGTCACCACACCCAGCTAATTTTTTAATAATTTATTGTAGAGATGAAGTCGTGTGAAGTTGCCCAGGCTGGTCTTAAATTCGTAGACTCAGGCAGTCCTTTCACTTCGGCCTCCCAAGGTGCTGGGTTTACAGGCATGAGCCACTATGCCCAGCCAGAAGGCTATTCTTTATTGTCTAAGTGGACCATGATGTCAAACTGGACTAAAGCAGCAGCTAAAGGGTTGGAGAGCAAATAGTAGATCTAAGAGACAAATAAGGAAAATTGAATAAAGACTGGAGAAAAAGTAAAAGAAGAGTTAAGAATCTTCAAGATTTCTACTATAGATATTTTTTACCTGTTGATGCCATTGACTGGGTTCTATGATACTGGAGATGGAGTAGAAAATTAATTCCTTTTAGGATACATTTTTACATGGCATGCTTTTTTTGCTTTTTTTGAGTGTCGTGGAAACTTCATGAGCATATAATAGCAGTGTTTGATCAGAGACTTACTCCTTTAGAGTGGAAAGTTTGTGTTCATTATTAAAATGTCTTCGTATTTTGGAAGTTGTACTTTGAAAACAGATAAAATGATGTTCTGCTCTATCAACCTGAATTCCATTTTAAGCCTCACATTGAATATTGTAAACTTTGAGAAACACATATAGACTCACAAATATACATACACACGCATATATATGTATACATACACATGTATGTATATAGGACATAGCAAGGTTAAGGAGTGAGGCCTGATCAGGATTTAAAAATCTGCCCTGGTGATTATAGTATTTAAGAGTCACTGGGCTAGAATGAGGGATGGGCTAACTGGGGAGAGTTTAGAAGGCTGTTCTTTTTTTATTTTAATTATAATTATTATTTTTGAGTTAGAGTCTCACCTTGTTGCCCAGACTGGAGTGCAGTAGCATGCTCATGGCCATGGCAGCCTCGACCTGCTGGGCTCAGGTGATCCTTCTGCCTCAGCCTTCCAAGTAGCTGGAATTACAGGCACGAGTCACCACACATATAGACTCACAAATATACATACGCATATATATGTATACATACACATGTATGTATATAGGACTCATGTATAAATATAAAAAAATCTTTTGTGTTTCCAACATTTAGTCAGGTTTTTAAGTAGCATCTGCCTTTATGTGGTTTTGGTTTTGAACTTATAGCCCATGTTGAAACTTTGTTATGGACCTAGCTTTTAGCAGGTAATACTAATTAAATAAGAAGGAAATTAATATATATTTTTTTCTCTCACAGTATCCAATAAATGGCTCCATGAACGTGGACAGGAATTCCGAAGACCATGCACCTTGTCAGAATTGGAATGACAACGACTTCCATTCTTCTCCTGTTGTACTCTAATGTGTCTGATACACATTTCCTAGTCTTAACTTTCAAGAGTTTACAATTGACTAACACTCCATGATTTGATTCAGTCATGAACCTCATCCCATGTTTCATCTGTGGACAATCACTTACTTTGTGGGTTTCTTTTAAAAGTAACACTAAATCACCACATTGTATATATAAACCTTAAAGTTCAGTTGGTATCACAGAAGACAAGGCAGAGTTTAAAATGAGGAATTTTTAATTGGATGTTATATTTTAAACAACTTTTATGTTGGACAAAATATAATGTAAGCATCCAGTTTTAGTATTTTACTACATCTCACTTGATGGGTGGTAAGCTAGAATGGACCATGAAATAGGAGATAGAAGCCTTACAGTATATTTCTAGGTGTTATGTTTACCTAGTCTTACTCTGTTTATTTTCTGGATCTGCCTGAAGATTAGTAATAAATGAGGGCTCTAACCTGAATTTCATATGACATTTGCCCTTCTATACAATATTCTAAGTTGATTTTTTTTCCTCTCAAGTCCTTTGAAAGGAATAATATTGTATTTTACCAATCCCCTTTTCTCATAACCTCTGTGATAAATTATACTTAAGTTAAAATAATTCAATTAAAAAATATTGTTAACAAAATCCTGCATAACAATATTGGCCCTTCTTAACTAAAATGCTCATCATGTAGTCTGTTTTTTTCTCCTTTTTCTTAAATTTCCAGAAATATTTTCTTAGTGTTCATACCTTGCCTCTTATTCCTGCTACAGCAGGGTGGTGATATTGGCATTCTGATTAAATAAATATTGTGCCTTAGGAGACTGGAAGTGTAAAAATGTACAAGTCCTTTCAATGATGAGAGAATTGATTTTTTTAAAAAGGCCTTTTTCTTCAAAAGCCAAATGTTTGTTTTTTTAAACTTCTGAAATGTGTTGTGACAATGACCTATTTATGATCTTAAATTGTTTTTTAAAAATGTTTCTGTTTTCTGTGTGGTGTTTTTCATATTTAGGTCTGAATGATATAACAACAGGTTAATTCTACTTTATGTTATTTCTCTAGTACATAGGATTTAGGATTATACTCTTGGTTTTCGCTCACAGTCACAAAATTTAGGCTATCTGAAGTTTCAGGTATCTAATTAATCAAAATGTGTTTCCTTCAGAGAGAGCACTACAATGTTACAATTGTTATGGGGTTATTACAATAATGGTACTTAAGATTTTCTCTTTTTCAGAAATATGTGGTAATATAAAGCTGTGAACTTAATGAAGTATGTTAATCAATACTTTAGATTAACTTTTTACATTATTTAAGGTGAATCTTAGTTCACACAAGCACTCTTTATTCCTTGTGCGGTATTTAAATATTTAAGGAAGCCAGGCATGGTGGTTCTTGCCTGTAATCCCAGGATTCTGGGAGGCAGAGGTAAGAGGACTGCCTGAACCCAGAAGTTTGAGACAAGCTTGGGCAAGTTGACGAGGCCTCATCACTACAAAAAATAAAATTAGCTGGGCTTGGTGGTGCACACCTGTAGTTCCAGCTACTTGGAAGACTGAGGCAGAAGGATCGCTTGAGCCCAGTAGGTCCAGACTGTGGTGGCTGTGTGCATGCCACTACACACCAGTCTGCATGACAGAGTGAGACGCTGACTCAAAAAATGTTTAAGAAAGAATTTGGTCAATTGTCTAGGAAATTAGGAATTTTTACCTATTTTTAAAATTAGGAATTTTTACCTATTTTTAAAATGAACTGTGAGTTTCTCCCATCTCCCTTTTGTTCCAACACAGATACTTTGGAAATATTAAATTCAGCAATTTTCACCCACTCAGATTTTGCAGTGATAGGTGATTTTTTTTTTTAAGTTGGAGTCTCACTTTGTCACTTAGGCTTCAGTGCAGTGGCATACTCACAGCCACTGCAGCCTAAACTGCTGGGTTCAGGTGATCCTTCCACCTCAGCCTTCCAAGTAGCTGGAAATAATAGGCATGTATCACCACACTGGCCAATCTATTTATTTATTTATTTATTGTAGAGATGAGTTCTCATCATGTTGCCCAGGCTGGTCTCAAACCTCTGGGCTCAGGCAATCCTCTCTCCTCTGCCTTCAAAAGTGTTGGAATTTCAGACGTGAGCCACCATGTCCAGCAGGTGATTTTTTAACAGAACTTTTTTTATTAAAAATATTAGATGGAGGTAACAAATTCAAAAGTGTAGAAATAAAGTGGAGATTCAAAGGATGGAAAACAATGTTTATTGCCATATGTGTTTTATAGCAAGTAGGAAAAAATAGTGTCTATTTCAGAAGGAAATTTCATATTTCATAATCTTACAAATTTCCTCATTATATTTAACCTGAAACTCTATGTGGGGATTGATAAACTCAGAGTTAGATCTTACAGAATCTTCTAGAGTTTCATAATTATCAATGGTTTTTCTTTCCAAGTGGAAAGGAGGGAAAAAAATCCAAAATGAAGCTTTTGGCCCAGTTATGCTGACCTCTCAAATAATTGAGTGCTGGAACTATCCTGGAAAATATGGAAACTGGTTTCCTCACCAACCCTAAGCCTTTACTTCAAGATTGGAAGTTTCATTCATTAACTTTAAATATGGAATTAGTTGAAGTATCCACCAGACCATTCTAACAGTGGGGTAAATAAATGTGATAATTAGGAATAGCCTAGTGACTAAAAAGAATAATAAAGTGACTTTAGGATTTCTTGGAAAACTAACAGGTAAATGCAATGATGAAAGAAGAAATCAACCATCTACTTAAGTGAAAATATAATAAAATGGTTATTACACTGTGAGAGGGTTGAGGAAAGTTATAAATATTAAACCAGCACACATATATAGTATAATATGTAAACTAATATATATAGACAGGAATGAAGCTTTATTACTGCTACACAGCCATGTGTTGATTGCTGTATGTAAATTCTATACTGCTTAAATCCACAGCTGAAAAATGAACTTACATGCAGAGCCCCATGAGGTAGATTCCTGTTATCAAGAAACTTAGAGTGTAATACCAAAACACACACACAATCATGATTAACTATAAACCACTTGAGAAGAAATAGACAGAATTATGAAATAAAGATTTCTAGGAGAAAGAAGAATGGAAAAACAATATCTTAATCTGGATAGCCAAGAACCAATCTCTTTTCTCTTGACAGCACCTATTTACACTACTGTAAACATTGGTGTTTTAGAAGGAACTATATTGCATAATTTAGAGAAAAAGGAATGGATTATCAATACCAGGGTACCACAAATTACCAGATTAATCAATAAAATAGATTTCCTAATGTCCTTGGATATTATTCCACGACACTGACGGAGCTTTGCAAAATTAACTGTAGTAGACTAGTAACATTCTTGGCTGCCTGCTTTCTTAAATTTGAAGATTTAAAGTTTGCCTTGTAGCTGGGCATGGTCACTCATGCCTGTAATCCCAGAAGTTTGGGAGGCCAAGGCAAGAGGATTGTCTGAGCTCAGGAGTTCAAGATCAGTCTGGGCAACATGTAAGACCTTGTCTCTACAGTATATTTTTAAAATTAGCTGGGTATAGTGGCATGCGCCTGTAGTCTGAGCCAGCTGGAAGGCTGAGGCAGAAGAATCGTCTAAGCCCAGGAGGACGAAGCAGTGGTAGCCATGATCATGCCATTACACTCCAGCCTAGGTGACAAAGTGAGACACCAACTCAAAAAAATAAAAAAAGGTGTATCTTGTATGTAAATGTAGCCTTCAGGTAAATTTAAATTTTGACACAGGAAAACTGATAAGACCACCTTTTTACAAAATACAACTTAAATGTACTAGTAGATGTTAAGTAAAAGAAGCAACAGGAGTGGAGGTCCTCCATCTTCTGCATTTTGAGACCTTGTTGAACTTCCATTGCATCACTAGTCTGCTGAAAATAGTCATGCATTGCTTAATGATGGTGAAATGCATTTTGCCGTTGTGTGAACATCTCGGAGTACTTACACAAACCTAGGCAGTATAGCCTACTACACCTAGGCTATATGAGACAGCCTTTTGTTCCCAGGCTACAAAACCATACAGCATGTTACTGTATTGAATACTGCAGGCAGTTCTAATAGTGGTATTTGTATACCTAAACATATCTAAACATAGGAAAAAGTACAGTAACAATACAGTATTTTCTCATGGTACCACCATCATACATGCAGTCTTTTGTTGAGCAAAACTTTATGCAGTACATGATAATCACATGAAATAAGCTCTAAAATCTGGAAAAGGAAAATTCTCAAATTTTGTCATTTGGTCTTTCTGATTCATAATAGGCCTATTTCTTACATAAATCTGTTTTAGATGTACTTTAAAATTTCAGAATAGAACATCTTAAATACAGGATGATGTGCATGTCTACATTTCAGTGCTTTTAGGGAGAAGGATTGTGTCTCAAGTCAGCCTTTTCTTAGAAAGGGCATTCACTTTCTTTAAGTCCACAAAGAGTCAGAATTATTTTAATATCTACTTTTAAGTCATAAGTATAGTTGAAATCCATTGTAATGTAGGTTTTACATGGGTTTGACTATATCATGAGTTAAATCATATCATGTAAAATAACTATATAATAGTTCACTTCTAATAACATTTCTTTTGATACATGTATAATAAATAATAATTGTTAAGTCTTAGAAGATGAAAAAGCTTATGTAATAGTTAAAATAGTTTCTATTTTTTACTTTAAAAGACAAAATGTAAGATTCTTTGATGTGAAACACCTCTCAGATTTATTAGGAAATAGAAAAAAGTGCTCCTGACTAAAAATAATCAGTGCTATCTTTTTCACATTCCTTTTTTATTTCTGCAACTGTGGGGAAAATAGTCCATGGGAAGTTCAAGTAAAGTAATACTGAAAGTGCTCTGAAGCAGTGCCACTCAGAGTGTGGTTCATAGATGAGCTGCCATGGGGTTTCTTATTGGTCCACGATGAGATAAGGAGCTTATATCAAAGTGAAAATAAATTATATCAATAAGTACTTTATTTAGTTCCCTTGACTTTTCTCATAGCAGGACTCACTAGATGTAGTATACTGTAGTACAAACTCCTTATCTCAGTGAAAACCAGAACTTTTAAGTAATGTTGCTTAATTCCCTTCCTTGAACTGGAAGGAACCAAGCAGGTCCAGGGTTGC